CAGGATATAACCATCTCTGGGAGGTAGACAATATGTAATTCATTGGATTGATTAGCCAAGTACTCTTGAAATCTCAATAGCCATCTGAAATAAGATCTAAATACACCTTCTGACATTTTCTTTCAGCAAAAGCGGAACTATTTCCGTTTCAGAGCAGAGAACGAGGCGTTCACTAGTTGTCACCGATTGAGCGGACCCGTTGATTTTAAGTAAATAGTCTCATCGCGTAGTGTCTCGACCGCTCTCTTGGGAAATGCCTCTATTGAATTAGGGGCCGAGGTCACCGAATTTCGCAGACGGGATTCACATAAACAGTCGATATGCCGCTGTCTGCTCTTCCCGCCACTTTTGTTAACCATCCCAGTGCCCCTCTTGGCCATCACACTCGTTAAGCCCTTCGCCATGCGTTCTGCTTTCGCTTTGACGGGCCTGACTATCTTGTGCAACTTTGGTGTTGCCCTTGCAGGCCCATGCAAGCCTCATGCAACAGTAACGACATCTGCCCCGACCACCTCGGAGACAAATGGACCCGTCGTTGTCAAGAACGTGATTGGCAACGGAAACTTCGCCGTCAGGGACTCCACCAACCCAAGTAACATTCCCAACTACACAGTCGAAGGTCAGTGTCAGATTGTCGAAAACAGGGGTTATACCGGCGACGGCAGCAAAGAGAAGGGTTGCGTCGAGCTACAAGCTGCCAACAATCCTCCTGGACGCAAGCGAGCCATTGGAAACATCGTCAGCATTTCGCAACAGCTTGACTCCCTCGACATCAAGAAGAAGTACACCGTCCGCTTCTTTTACGCTGTGGTTACTGCCAGCCAGATCAATGTCTGCACCCTGAGCGCTTCCATCGCCGGCCATCAATTCTATACATCAACAATCCTCAGTATTGGAACAGCTATCGACTGGAATACTGTTCTTGAGCAGACCGATGTTCCCGAAACACAGGGTGCTTTTTCAGTGTCGGTCAATTGCCCAATTGGTGGAATTGCGGCTATCTATGTCGATTCGATCTTTATGTCTAACCAGGTCACTCCTGAGACGATCAATGATGTATCGATTGACTTTGGTGATGGGACTGAAGTTGCTACTACTACGACATCTAACGGGTTAAGCAGTGAGAGCACAAGAAGCCCATCGACACAAATCGAGCCTTCCACTAGAACTGATGCCCTCACTTCCGAACCTGAACACCCAACAACTGATCTTTCAATGGGTCCTGATACCAACACTATCCATCCATCAACCAAGACTTTTATCACTAGTGAGACCACCAACACTCAGAACAAGCCTTCGACCGCAAATGAGTTCACTGTCCCGACCTTGGACCCCTCTACAGCACCAGAGAAACAGTTTACGACTCTCACTCTTGACCCATCGACAGCATCAGAAAGACAGTTCACGACTGTCACCTTAGACCCGCCCACGAGCGCCCTGCAACCCTCAACCGCGACTGACATCTCCCCCTCGACCGCAAGCTCTCTACCAACTGGCTCGCGCGTCTGTCCTGTAGGAGCCCCTCCACCAGGATACTGCACACCTGTGCAGCCAGAAGTAACCCAGACGGTGTCCTTGCCAGGAATCCCTCAGGTGTCTGAGAATGATCGTCCTACCGCCCCCAGGGCCTGCTGGGCTTTCGGAAAGGCAAAGCAAGGGACATGGGGTCGTACAAAGTCCAGCAACCCTCGACAAAACTCCATCGCTGACTGTGCCTTGCTTTGCAAGCAGGAAGGATCTGCTTGCAAGGCCTTTGCGCTGTACAACCTGGGCTCGGAGACTAGCTGCTGGATGCTTGGTGATACACTGGGCGTCGTTGGTATTGATCTGAATGCGCAGAACTCCCTGATGTGGAATGATTTCGATTGCTTTGAGTGTCATGATTGTGACATCAAGAACCCGGCGGACATTGAGACTTCGACCGTCGCACCTTCAACCACCTCTCTTACAGCAATCGTAACTACATCGGCTTCTCCCTCCGTGCCTACTCTCTGTCCCAACTGCCATCTCAAGAGCTCACCATCCTCAGACCTTGTCTGTGAGAAGATCGGCAACCTTGGTGCTGTTGATCTCGAGCCGTATGCCAACAACGATTTCGATCAGGCCACTATGCAGACGAACTCGGAGCAGTGTGCGACTATTTGTTACCAGCTAGATGGCTGTGCTGCCTCAGCTCATGATGCCGCTCGGGGACGGTGCATTTTCACCAATGTTGCCATGACGAGCAGCGCCTTCCAGGAAGCACAGAACCTGAACGCCCATGATTACATTCTGCCATGGAGTTCCCAAGGCTGCTGGTCCTGCTCTAACGATTGCTCGGTACAGCATGATACCACCAGTCAGGCTCCTAGCTCTACTGAACATACTGTTGAAGAAACGACAATGACTCCAACACGTACTGAACCTCTTACGACCTTTAGCTCTTCTTACGTTCCAACAATCACAGAGTCCTCCATGCCTCAATGCACCCTGGCTTTATCCGATGGATGCACCTTCGATCAGAACAACTATAACTATCAAGACTGCAGTAAATCGGGAACTATTAGGAACACTTTTACACTCGAAGACAATGAATACCCTTGGCAAGAGGGCATCAACACTTACCAGAACTGCGTAGCCCTTTGCAACCAGATGCCTCATCGCTGCAAGTCTTCGGCATGGGATCAGAACCAACAGGCCTGTGTCTTCTCCTCCAACTCTATCTTCACCTCGGCCTTCACCCCCGGCAATAGTGGCGACCAGGATATGGAGTGGAGTGACCAAAGCTGCTGGAAATGCTTCTGCCACGACCAAGATCGCGATGCATACTCTGCGTCGCTCAGAACTGCTCTCCCTACGGCGACTTGCGCCCCGAGCATCACGAGTGAGGATGCTGTCTGTTCGCTCAAGCAGGTTGACGCCGGTGATTTGGTCTGTCAACATGAGGGATACTTCCCATGGCAGTGGGACGAGGCACCTTCTAAGTTCCCCAACCAGGATTCAGAGGAGCGTTGTGCGGCTCTTTGTAACTCGAACCCTGACTGTCAAGCATCGGGCTGGTCTGAGGAGTATGGCAAATGTGCTATTGGAGTTTGGCAACTTAAGGGTATTGCATGGCAACAGTCTGGTGATACGAAGCTGAGCTGGAGTGATAAGGGCTGTTGGGACTGCTCCGACTGTATCAAGAGTCAGAAATGGCGTATCTACAACTGAGATTGCCAATTACATGGCAAAGCTATCTTATTTGAATGGAATTCTGTGCCTTTGTCTGAGAACAGCTGTTCGGTGGCAGCATTTAAGTGATTTGGATCTCGACAGCAATTGCCCGCCGGAATAGGTTTTGGGATCTCAGCGTAAAGGTTTAGGCCAAATCGTGAAGGAATTTCTCCACATCAATATCATCCAACAGAACTGAAAAAAAATAAAAAAATACTAGCATTTTTCTCCGTACTTTCTACTTTAAATCTAGTTAAGAAATAGAGTATCTTGAACTCCAGTTTAATCGAGAAGGCGTAAATAATGCTCGGGCCTTCTTTGGTTGTTACAGGCAAACGCTCTGCCCTTAATCTTTCCGACAAGAAGCTGTCAGCATATAGCAGTGGCAGGTTATAATAGCAGATAGTGTCGCTATTAGTATATACTTCCTTATAAGCCTGGTTTATAAAGGACTTAGTACTGTAAAGGGTTTGGCATATCGATTGGCAGAAGTAAGACGCAAAGCCTAAAACCACTGAATGCTATTAATTACACGACATTCATACATGACAGCCTTCTAGTTAGACACACTGAGTCACGCAATCGATGCGTTACTGACTGAGAGTCCTTTATAACGATGGCCTTGTAGCCATTCGCTGCGTAGAATTCAAAGTCAAGCGCAATCTCAAAACCGGTCCAAAGGATAGTATTGCTGACATTTTTTTAAATTGGGGTTTTCGTTTGGCTGCAGGTCATGGAACTTTTACTGCTGCTGATAGGCAGTTTCGTCCTGCTGTAGGATATCCAATTGCGATCGCTACAACATGCTGACATGCATGGCCTTGAATACCGAATACTCCCTGGCATGCTTTGTCCCAGAGAAAGAAGACGTAGTTCATGCCGCTAATCGGTGGTCCCACGAGTAAAGCGGGTGGTAGCACAGTTGAAAGGCAATTTTGTTCAAATCCCGTCGGCTGTTCGTCGAGCGAGCAGTATCCCATCGCTTAGGGTCTTGTTTCCCTCGTTGAGTCCCGCTGGTGTGACTTTCTGCTTTTCCAAAATGAGGCTTACCTTTGAACGTAGAAAAGACGGCTGGGGTACGGAGTATTCTTAGTTCAGACTGCGGAGTATGTGTAGCCTATGCGTGATACGAAGTACAACGGTAACATTAATCACCTGTTGGAGCAGCCTTTGGATATGTTTCCAGAGAGTTGTATTCTGGTGGGTCTATACGAAAATGCAAGACAGGGAGGGCTCAAACTTCAAGGCAAACCGCTTAGCTCGCATAAACAAATATACTGGTTGGCTGTTGCGTCACCGGGTACGGCGATTGCTCTATAAGGAGGTATACATCCCCGTAGCTTGGTCCCCCTCAATCAGTAGATGAAATCGTGAAACTGAGACCCGGCTTATCTCCTGAACTTTAAATTGATAACAGGGTTGTACGGAGTCGGGGATTGGCCCAGAGCATAACATAACAAGGAACGTTGTGCTGTTGCAACAAAGCAAATGGAGAGCCACTGCGACGTAATGCAAGGATCTGACACGGGACAGATCATGCCAGCGCCCGCCGAGATTCCCTTCTTCCGGGGCAATGAGTCGCGTCTTTGACTTAATCCAATAGTAGAGCCACTTTACGACTTCTAGATTCGCCACGTTTGTGGTTCATCATTGTCAGCCCAATGCGACATGATTTCTCCTCCTTTTCTTCCAGAAGCGCAATAAAATAAGGTTCCCTACCCGTAACTAATCATTTATTAGTTAATAAAGTCTTTTAGCCGCCGTTCAACACAAACTCTACTCCGTACTAATCTCGCCGATCCAGAATGGCTAGCCAACTCAAGGTATCGGACGTTGAGCTTATGACTATAGGCTATCGCAACAGAACGATCCTTGTGTTTTCAATCTGCTTCCCTTTGGCTGTCTTGTCAGTTTCTCTCCGGTTTTTGAGTCGCGTCTTGGCTAAAAACCCCTTCTGGTGGGATGACTGGTTCGCGCTGATTGGCCTGGTAAGCTCTCCGCGTGTTGTCTCCGTCGAGATTCGCCGACTGATTCGTCTTTTTTCCCCCCTTCCCTCAGTTCATGGCAGGAGGTTTCTGCACCTGTCTCCTAATATGCCTCCCGAGCCTTGACCTAATCAGTGGCAAAGAGCCCATCACGACTGAACTCATGAGCCATACCGCCAAAGTAGCATACGCCGCCGAGTTGATCTACTATTGCAACCAACTCAGCCTCAAGTTTTCCATCCTCATGTTCTACTGGAGAATATTTGGGCAATCGAACTATATCCGACGGTCTATCTATTACATGGGGGTGTGCATTATCTTGTGGTTCATCGCCTCAGTCAGTGGCCTACTCCCTTGCTGCCATTCCCGTATGTTGTCGCTGATGAATATCAGTTTCTCATCTCAGCCCTTCAATGCGTCCCAGTACAAGCAAATTGGGACCCGATCGCGAAACAACAGCCTGGTGTCAAATGCGTTGACTTGAATGGGTTTTTCTTTGGCACGTCGATTCCGAATATTATGGCCGATTTATTTCTGGTTGTTCTACCGATTCCACAAGTGATTAAACTCAAGATTACCACGGCTCAAAAAGTATTCGTTATTCTGTTTTTTATCCTCGGTGGTTTGTAAGTTCTCCTCATCTGCATTCCAAGCCAGCAATGCCCGCTAACTTTGTCACCAGTGTTGTCATCACCTCCATCGTTCGACTGGAACTAATCACCACAGTCAATTTCGCAACCTTTACCGTCAATTTCTCTCACGTGAACGCGGTTGTATGGACCATGGTCGAGAATTGTTGTGGCGTTATCAGCGTCTGCCTGCCTTCACTCCGACCCATCATCAGATTCATTCCTTGGAAAGCCTTCCAGAATGCCTTTATACGCAGCAGCCAGGACTCGAAATCTCAATCTAAGCAGTCAGCAAGAATGGATGCAAATATCTTCGGACGATCCCGCCAACGATCTCAATGGAGTCAGATTGAGTCGACAAACGAGGGCCGGTCAGTAGCACAGCCTGGCATTACAAAACAGACCGAGATTGAAGTCAATTCCATTGAGATGGGTTCATTATCGAACTCGAGTCAAGTGCGACTTGCAGGGGCCGCGGACGATTCCAAGCCATGATGGCTTGCAGGTCTTGGTGTTGGTGCTTTGTAAGATTACTACAGTCGCATTTGATAGTGACAATAGTTTCGAATGGCAGCTCGTATACGGATACCCTGTGTGCTGTTCGGCTTTGAACACGTTTGGAGGATGTGATGGCCCTTGATATGGAGTATGACTGTTGGAAACAATAAAAAGTGGTGTGATGTTGCTGATCATCTACGGTATTCCTGATTTCAGTAGCACTTGTTGCTGCACAAACTAACGAACTGCATAAGCGAGGGTCAAAGCAGTCACCGTTGGGGCCAAGTTACTGCCGGGTTATGCCTATGTTGGAGTACGAATATTGGAAAGAACCAAAACGGTGTGACCACCTCCCGTAATCCCTGTTTCAGCTGCTGCACAAGACACTGTCCCATGCAGCCCAGTGAGAAATACCGAACTGGGTGGATTCCACGGGTAAGCGTCAAAACAGACTTTGGCCAGTAGCCGTTGGGACTAATTTCTCCCCGGCTCATATATTAGCCGGACGGACGACTAGGGTCAAATACGGGAGCTTCTTCCCTGCCCATGCCCAAGCAAGCCTCATCCTAGGGGGCATGCTTGACATCAGTGTAGATCTTTATTACAGGCCACAAGGGCTCCAAATGTTAAATTCCGCGATCGAATAGGTATTTTTGCCGCGGCGGAAATAGGTATAAGCCTTGCAATTGGGTATTCCCAAAGAAAAGAGGGTATAGAGATGGACCTGATTCTACTGATCCAAACGGATTAGCCACTCAGATAAGTATATCATTTAGCGTTTGGAGCCCTTGGGGCCTGTCCTACCGAGATATTGTACGCCCGTAGGACCCTTACCACTTCCACCGTCTTGTCTTCAATGCTACCTGGTGTGCCATAACCCCAGGTCTGAACCTGGTTGTGATTGGAGGATGAATCAGGTGGAGAAGAAACATTTGGGGGTAATACTGGATTTTGGGCTCACTCGAACCATTTTGGATCACTCCCATGTCCCAAGACGCTCTTTCAGGGTCTCGACCGGGTCGTACCAGTAACTGACTGTTAAAGCCACGTGGGTATACTTTGAGAATTCGGGGTATCATTTCCAGATACGGAATACCGAAGGATTTGGCTCAAGTACCCCCATATACGGAGTACTACGTAATAATAAAAACCCCTTCTCCTCCATTGTTTTTTCTACTCCCCATCTGCTGCCGGTACCCTGTAACTCTTTTTACCTTCTACCCGTCTTCGTGTGGCAACCTGTCAATCGCTCTGTCACTCACTTGACACGACAGGACCAGCAACAAGCAGCTTCACGCCCAAAACCCGACGATGAAGGGTCTATTCCTCCTCACTCTATTCGCCCAAGTACTCGCGTTCTCAAACATCAAAGTTAAAGTCGAAATCACCACCCCAGCCATGGACTGCCCGGTTGAGGTTGGCCACGTCAAGACCCAGGATGGGATTAGGCTCCAATATGCTCAGGCTGGTCCCAAGGGGGGCCAGAATTTACTTTTTATTCCGGGATGGCGACAATCAGCCGCTGAGTGGAAGAAGCAAGTCAAGTACTTCTCTGAGTCTGGTTACCGCGTGACTGCATATGATATGCGTGGTCATGGAGAGTCAGAGAAGCCTGACTTTGGCTACCGAGTGACTCGCTTTGGTGCCGACCTTAACGACGTCTTGACTTCCCTTAACCTGTGGAACGTCAGTATTGTGGCCCATTCTATGGGTTCCTCCGTTACGTGGGCCTTTTGGGATCAATTTCCTGCTGAGCGTAAACGGGTCGACCATTTCGCCATCGTTGATCAGCCATCAATTCTCGTTCGTGATCCCACATGGACCAAGGAGCAGGCTGAAACTTGGTCTGCTGCGCTCTTTGCACCGGAGCAGGTCTACACCTTTTCTCACAACATATCACTCGAGACTCCTCCCTTCGTCAGGTCAATGTTTTCTCCTGAGCTGTCGGAAGCCGATTATAAGTGGGTGCTTGCACAAAATGAAAAAATGAGTGATAAGCATGCTGCGACATTGCTTATCTCACATGCCTTCCTTGACTGGCGTGATGTTCTGCCACGCATCAATATCCCGTCACTGGTCATATCTGGAGATATTAGTATCGTTAATGCTACGGGTATCGCCTGGGCTGCATCTCAGATCCCAGGCGCAAAAAGCCGAACCTTTACAGCTGAGGAGAAGGGAAGCCACTTTATGTTCTGGGAGAACCCTAAGCTATTTAATCAGGTTATTGAAGACTTTATCACTTCTTAGGAAGTCGGCTATAGATCGCATCTAGCTGGTAATGCATTTATTCCCACCACCTTACATCAAGCTCCTACCTACTTGCATTACACTTTTGTAAAGCATGTTTAAACCCCAATCTTCCCGCGCTCCAAATGCACCTCGAATTCGTCTCAAATCGATGACCATTCATTCCCTGGGCAAGTCCCACCGCCATCTATATGACATCCATTAATCGAAAATGTGGGGAGTTGTCTTGAGCGCATGTAGACGCGCCAGTCAATGTTTGGCCCCCTCGTGTAACAGCAACCAGCCACTCGCTGTTGGACCAATTGGGTGGTGAGAGGGGAGGTATCAAAAGTTCCGTTTTGCCGTCAGTAACAGGCTTATTTGTTTCACAGCGCCGTTTTATAAAGTAAAAAAGTAAACAGCTAACCTTGCTAACGAACGCTTTCCACATTGTGGTATGGAGCTATCGGAGCATAGCGTTTAGCTTTCAGCACGCTATTATCATTTAAGCAGCGACAAAAAGGACGCAGCATCATAAAGCAGCTTTATGTGAGGGAGGAATTGACCCTCAGAAATTTCTGCAAGCAGGTCAATTGCATTTCAACTCTATGCCACTATGAGAATCGTGACGAGCTTTGCTTTGTGTATAATATAATGAGCAGCTGTTCCTAGATGCGATGCCTATTGGCCGATTAGCCACAAGTGCCCAGGCCTGCCGGAAACAGGTTCGGCGACCACAGCCCAAACCTTAGGCCAGATCGTGGGGGAATTTCCCTGCGTCAATATCCCTCAAGATTCAGGTCAGGTCGGAAAGATAAGCTATTTGACTGAAAGATAGATAAGGGCGGCATGAATCAGGTTTCGGGCCGCCAGACCTGCTTTTCTTCGCTTGCCTCATGTCAAATCATTTAAATCGGCATCTCACTGGCGTTGCAGCTGTGGTGAGACACGGCTGAATGCAGAAACAGCTGGAATTGATCACTGGTGCTCGCAGAGCAAAGCTTAAAATTATGGGCGGCAGTTAACTATATAGTTCAATGCTGGATTCTTCGCCCATGCAAAAAGGTGACTTCACCGCCGCGTGGCTGGCTGAGCGGATAAATGGTATGTTCTCATGCAAACCTTTCTTCACATCACAATGAAGGCGGAATGTGATATCGTTCAGCTATTGTTACACAACAAGCCTTGGGGATGAGGCAGTGCGATATAGAACGTCAAGTCAAGCTCCCACGCGATCTAGACCAACCATGTCCCTTAGCGCCTCTAGGTTGGTATAGAGGGAATGTATAATATGTTGCTATGTGCATATTTTAGTAGACTACTAGGTAGGTAGTCTATACGGAAATGCTTATCGACAAATACGACCAATACGGTTGATACGACGAATACGACTTGTGGGGTAACTAGCACGTAGTCTAAGCGAGAACTGTAGGACGAGTGGCCAATGAATGCGTTCCATCCTTGATTCTTACCACCATGGGTTGCACTAAGTTATTCTTAGCCGTGCTGTTCGTCCCCAAATGCATCGCCCTTGGATTAATGAATCTCGACGTTATCTATGATTATGCCTCTAGAGTTCATGTCGCAGGGGGTGAAAAACTTTCCGCTCATTTAGCCAAGTCTCGTCGGACCTCCATTGGTCCGAGATACTCTGTTTCTTACTCGCACTTTTTACAGACGAGACTTGTGGCTGTGAGCCTGTGTCATGACCCAGAACTTATCCCGGCTATAAGATCTCTGCCCAGGAGCATCACCTTTTCATCATTCTCCATTCGGAGTATTCGAAACTGACAGACAGTCCGTTGCTAGATCTGTCGTAGCCAATATAATGCATATCATCATCATCGGCGCTGGTCCAGCGGGCCTCGCAGCTGCCCTTGCACTCTCCCAAACCACCATTCAAGGCTCGCCGCCCCGAATTACTATTCTCGAGTTGCGCCCAAAAGTCGAAACGCTAGGAGGCACGATTCTGCTAACACCCTTGGCGCTACGGTACCTGGATGCTCTTGGCGTCGGATCACGATTACGGAAACTGGGTATGCCGGTCCGAGGTGTCGATGTCGTAGCTCTTCGGACTGGCCGGACGCTGGGGCAGATGTTGCCGGGAACAGATGCGCTGAGAGTTATGAGACATCAGCTTGTGCAGTGTATGGCGGATGCTGTTGCTGAATTGCCTAAAGACCTGGTCACCTTGCGCTATGGCGCGAGAGTCACTGACATACAACAGGTCGACGACCAGAAAGAGGACGAGAGAGCAGTTCTTGTCGACGTACAGTTTGATGCCGGGAGGTCGGAGGAGTCCATCAGTTGTGATATCCTGCTTGGATGCGATGGTATACACTCTTTCGTTCGGACCACAGTTGTGGACTGTGAAAGGACGAAGACGTATTCGGGTCGTGCCATCGCCTACGGCTATGTCAACTGTGATTCTGCTGGAGACATTGGTTTAACAACATTGAATGGGAAGCTGCGCCTCCGAGACTCTACTATGATCCAAGGTCAGCATGGATCGTTCTTAATAACCTATTTCGAACCATCGAGGGGAAAGGTATACGCTCTTGCTATCATGCCGATGGCAGAGAATCAAGATGCACGGGAAGGATGGAAGGCTTTGGGAGAAGACAAAGTTGCAATCAAGCGGGACATCGTGGATCGTTTCAAGGAAGGCGGTATCAAAGGTCTCGAACCCATCATCAACGAAAGCGACTGGTACTTCTACCCTGTCTATATGCTTCCTGTGGATGGAAGATGGAGCAAAGGCAGAGTGTTTCTTCTCGGGGATGCCGCTCATGCTGTAAGCACTGTTCAATACTCGCCACGACTATATCATCTAACATGAGCAAATAGATGCCACCCCAGGGCGAAAGTACTGGTATCGCGATCGAGGACGGTGTCCTCTTCGCCCACGTACTTAGCGAGGGGATATCAAGGGGTATCCCCTATGTGATGGAGGCCTACGAGACTCTGAGACGAGATGATATCACGAAGCTGCACTCTGAGACAATGTTTCGCTGGAATACTGGGAGTTCATCGTCTTGGCTATGGAGTATCACGATGGAATTTGCCACTTGGGTCTATCTTCTTCTTGCCAACTACCGACAGGAAGATTACTTTAAGCGGGATGTAAGACGCTTTAAGCTTCCATGACTCTAATAGCTATTGTACAGACCAATGATTTAAGGCAAATGTTATTTAAATAGCTCTCTTCCTTACATATCGGATGAAACTACACCTGCAGCTTTGCACTAAAAAAGCCACGAATTCAGTAACCCATAGTGTTGATATTGTTAATCTTAAGATAAACCGAAATATCCCCATCTTTATTGTACCAGAGCAATCGAAGCTTCTTTGGTAATGCAGATAAATGACTATGAACCAGCTGCCTCACGCAGAAATGCCAATACATGTACATAGCTCCAAACACCACTAAGCTGCGCCTCCACCAATAAATAAGCTGCGCCACGGCTGATAAGCTGCGCCTCTATCAATAAATACTTCAATTCGATAAATTCCTCTCTAGATTTCCCCGCCCTCCCTAGGCTTCCTCTACCCCATCGTAAGATCAAGTCGCGTGCTAAAGAGCCTCTAATTATGGCCTCAACGACATCCTACAGTCAAGGAGAGCCCTCACAGCGAGCTCCGCACAGGCGAGCCAACGTGGGATGGCTATCCCCATGTACGAGCTTCCCAAACTTGACATTACATTTCATTAACGCCAGCAGCGACCCAACCGCCAAAAGCAATCATCAACAGCAACTACGGCCCCGCGCTTACAAACGAGGAACTGTATGCGTTGGCACGCAGCCTGTCTAGATTAGACCAGTTTCTCCTTCTGTATTGTCAGCATTTCTACCAGCAAATCGCGTCTGGACAACTTAACCCAGGCGATACATCTGCGCAGAGACTCGCTCTAAACGACTTGGAGGATCTTCAGACAATCATAAGTCAAATTCAAGATATAAACACCGGCCGGTTTGTGTTTAGTAGTCTCTACCTGAAGGAGAGGCACATCCTTTACTATTGGGGAAGAGCCATTTCATTTCTCTCTCAGAATCTCCTAGCGGGGGATGAAATACACCAACCGTCGCTAGGTAACCTCAAAAGAGTCACTGAATATGCCTCTGATATTGAGAGTGCAGTACTTGATGCAGGCTCGGCGGGAGTGTTGACATCTGACTACCGATTGGTGCTTTCTGAGCGGTGGGATCTTCTCGAAAGCGTATTCAATTTATATCATCAGCATTCACGATCTCCTCGAACGGTTGCGAAATGGTGAGTCATTCTGTAAGTCATCCAGAAGCAAGCTAAAACACACTTCAGGCCCAACATAGCGCGCAGAGCCCAAGCGGCACCAAAAGTGGTGCCTCAAGACAGCAAAACAGGCCTTCCAACGCAGTCCGGTGTATGTATGTCTTATGACCAAATTTGGACATAAACTGACCTCAGCTCATAGACATTTACAACAATACTCTGGTTGACATTCGTCGGAACTACCTTATCCAATATCTGGACCTTTGCTCTTGCCTACAACTACTCCGACCACAAACCGGGAACTACAAAAGACGCAGACTTCTGGTTTCTCATGCAAAGCTGTTTCACGCAGGGGTTCACCTTGATCATCTCAGGTATCCCTTTGTGGGCAGATACTCGATTGCGGAAGCGGACTTGGGTGCCTCCCATGTTGCTAGCATTGATCTGCACGATCATAGCACCACCGCTATATCTCACAGCTCCGACGGAGTGGTCGAGCTTCGTTGGTCTTATAGCTACAGGCATACAGGCTTTCATGGTTCTACAGCTTGTGACGGTTTCAGGTTGAGTGCAGGGCCTCTGGCTGCATGGCTAATTAATGTTGGGTGGATGAGTCACGGCCGCGCTGCAGGGCAAGGTTTGGAATCAACACTTACACAGGTTTGTGCAATAAGGGTGTATGAATAAGAGATCATATACAACCTTGGTGAGGCAAAACTATTGAGGAGTACAGCCAAGTCACTATGTAAATTTGTGGTCGATTGCTGCCTTGAAAGTCAAATCTTCTATGCTGCAAGGTCACAATACAGTCACAGACCGTGTCTAGCTAGTCGAAATCAACAGTACTGACTGGTGAGTGTTCCTAGGTTCAAATGCACCATGAGCTGATGTATTCATTCTATTCCAGCTAAGCCTAACTAATATCTTTGCGCTGAATAAAGCCCCAAGCCACAAATCACTACTGAGAATAATACATCTAGCCCAACAACCCTAAGTCTAACACTTGAGGCATTTGATCAAGACAGGAGCGCCAATCCAAGGCCACTGGGCACTCAGGATGATTCCACCAGAGTTACAAAAGAAGCAGTCCCACGCACTAGTCTCGCACTCAATTTGATACTCCAGAGTCCCATGGACGCTAGAATTCTCTCCTGTCTCAGGCCTTGCCTTGTTGCGCATAGTGAGGTCCATGCTACCAGGCATCTTGTAGTACTTGTCAACCTTCTGCTCATACAGCCGGCACTGGCCCTCATGGCCCGGTCGCGTATCGGGCTGCCTGCAGACCTCTGTGACCACCTCTCGCTCGGACGAAAAGTCCTTATTGGTTGCCAATTCATCGAAGACTTGAGCCATCTTTTCGAGAGCCTCGGTGGCTGGGTCACCCTGGCATTTCCAACTGATAGTACACTTGCCGTTGATGGCTTGCTTGGTAGTGTCGCACATGTAGCTATCCTTGAGAAACGCTTTTCTGGCGGTATTCATGATCTTGCTGGCTGGAATGTTGTAGATTTCCACCGTGTCCTTGTTAACGGAGCCATGAATCTCTATTTCTTGGGGCTGAGGTTTTGGAGGATCGGGCTTCGGGTCGTTGGGGCTTTTGTAAGCACTACCTTGCTGGTGATTACAGACGTAGGCGCTTGAACACCACTTGCCATCGGCCAACTGGAACACTCTATCACGGTGGTACGAGTAGCATGTAAGGTCATGCTTAGGCTCAAAAGAATGGTGAGCCAGTCCCGACTTGTTAGGGTCCTTGACGTTTTCGTCGATAAGAACAGCAAACTCGTCGCCATTCGGCAAGGTAAATCCAAGCCCCCCCTGCTGCGTCCAAGGATAATGGCCAGACCATGGTATATTGATCATCATGGTTGGCTTGTAGGTATTGTCTCCTTGGCCCGTCCAGACGTCGCCGTTGTAGTACATGACCTCGCGGGAGGTTGAGCCGCCATTCACGCCGAGACCGATGCCACAATCGGCCAAGACCAAGTTCTCATTCGGAGTGTTCTGTGAAACAGCAAGAGGAGCGGAAGAGAAAAAAGTCAAAGCCATTAAGGCTAGGTGAGAGGGTTTCAGAGCCATCTTAGTAATGGGTAAGGGATAGAAGAAGGTGTACTGTTTTGCGTCTTGATGTAGGGAACTCTGGACTTGAGTGTGAAGTTGATACTGAGTCTGAAGGCGAACTTCTTGTCGCTTATATATTGTTTGGACTCTCTACAATCAGTGTATAAAATACGGTAATACAGTAATCACAGTTACACATAACAGCAAGCCTTTTGCAGCTGCATGCTGTCTGCTTACTGGAAGAGCCATTTTCTCATGTGTGGGCTGTGCAATTCAGAGGTTAGACACAAATCATAGTGTTTGAGAACAGAGTCAGTCGTGGGTAAAATTGTGACGCTACATTCGGGCTCGCCGACTCTGCAGTTTAGTGCCTTATTCTGATTATACCACGCAAAGTCATTGGATCCACATCTATGCATATCTGAGTAATGAAGACATGGGTGAATCCACTATTCTGTTGCAGCTGAGAACTACCTGGTGTTTGAGGTGTCATTGAGATCCACAGAGTAAGCGTAATTCTCTCCCAAAAGAGACTTTTAAGCTTAGATCCTGTTTCCTGCAGGATACTCGTATTTCACCTCATGCAGACATAAGCATGGGGCATACCCGTTGTATTTGCTGGCTAGTGATACGACCCTTGAATGGCATCTTGGCAGCGCTTAGAAACTCGGACTCTGCCGATACTGAGTGGGTCCCCGCTGATTCCAAGGCCGAGGTACAGCTCTATTCACAACCTCAGAAGGCAAGTATTACAATGTTCGTGGGTGTCAAACTGTGTCAATTGTAGTCATGATGGGGCTGAAGCCTCTTTTAGCCTGTCAACTGTATTACATCCCCAGCATTTCAAAGGGGGTGATTTTAACAAACTGATCTTGTATTTCTCCATCCTAATAGCCTTTTTAGCATTGCATCCTTCCTCATGGGCGGTGTAATAATGGCCACATAAAATACACATACAATGGCAACCCTCGAGGCTGGTGTTATAATCAAAACAAGGCATGGTCCGTCTGGTACGTGATAGAAGTATCTTAGGCGGCAAGGATACCAGGTGCCGTGCTCGGATCAAAAACATTCCATACAAACGGCATTCCCAGACTAAGCCCATCCTCTCCAAGCTTTCTCCCTTTGACGGCTTTACTGAACTCGGATAAAGTGTCTGAATACACTTTGGCAGCTGCACGGGCCTCCTTGTTGATCCTGGCATGGAACTCAGGTTCGTTAAAAAGAAAACGAAGTGAATCAGCAGTATTAGCCATCTGTGCTTGGTTGAACGCTGTAACAAGCTCAATCTGCTGTAACGAGGCATCTAGGTCTGGGAGAAATGATACGAGGCTAGAGATGCCCTTGTCCTTTGGCAGCGGCTGATAGAGCGACAGTGGGTGCATCGGCAAAACGGCACTGTAATGCACAAGACTATTGCTATTTAGCGATCCATGAAGGATCGAGATGAGATACGCGTGATGGGTGAGTACCGCGACCAGTTCTGATTTAGTAGAGATGGAGTCAGGAAAATCCACTATGGAGGCGGCATGAGCTGCTTCATGAAACCATGCGACGAGCTCGTTATCCGCGGTGATTGCATCGTCCGATGGGTAATATGCGTCAACATACGCGGTGATGAAAGTCCGCAGAGCACCTAGGATGACTGAAGCATCGTCGTAGTAGGGAAATGACTTGAACTCAGGACCGTAATCGCAGTTTATCAAACCCCGCCGGGTGAGCTTCGTTTCAAGATGATTCGCCTGCCAGGGAGCACATTCAGACTGCCAGACCTGTTTACTGTACTTGATTGCCTGGTCACCGTTCCAAGCAAAGTTCTTCTCGATGTCGCCGCCGGGATTAACGAGAGACACGCTAGCTCCCACGCGGTATGCGAAAGAATTGACGCCCACTGCACGATGCGATCAGTTCTGTTGTTTGACTGAGTCTTGGGTGTAACCTACGGCGACGGATCAGACCCCAGATCGGGTGCATGTCACTGAATGACCGAGTAGCCGACATGTAGACGAGGTCGGAAGAGATGTGAGATGAGGCTAGGTGATACCACTGATTATGCCAAACATCATTCATGTTGAGCAGTATCTTGGCTAGAGTCCAGTCATTGTCAGCATCGAGAGGAGTGTATACCAGAGGCGAGCCATTGTTGGGACGAATGGCCAGTGGTAAGAAGTCTTGTGAGACAGGATGAATGAAGAACAGCGCCTCACAAGCGCCAGCGTAGCGACCTTTTGTCAAAGTCAGGTTCGCCAGATTGCTGTGATCCACAATAAATAGGCGTCCTTCTTTCTGGAGAGAGCGCTGAGTTTTTGTTGTGATCTTCCCTGCAAGCTTGTCGTCGATACGTAGGGCTACTCGCTCATCTGGTCTGACTCGTCGTAGGCTTTCGGGGTGTACAGAGAGCCGCTCCATGGAAAACGACAGATCGGACTTGGCATTGCGGAGGACTCCTTCAGCAAGCCCATCTGGAACGCTGTTCTGCCACTGGCCATCGTATAGCTTGAAATAGGCTTCGAACGAATCTAAATGGAGGGTCTTGATATTGGAATGAGCAATGGCAATTAGCGATACTTTAGATAAGTGTTTATGACTTACTCCGTTCAGGGACGCTTGGGCTTTGGCAGCATCCTCGTCAATATGCTTGTAGACAGGTGCCTCAGACACCTCGAAAGCACTGTAGTGCGCCTTGACGGCTTTTTTACCGAGTGGACCTGAGGGCCATGGGTTAACGCCGATGAGAGTATCATCCACTCCGTACTGGAAACCTTGACGCGTCTTTTCGATTGCGGCAGCTCGGCCTGAGTTGTTGCTTGACGGGAGTGAAAAGGGCCGTGGCGGATTCGCTGCTGCTACGGCTCCCGCGACATGTAACAGCAACGCGACATTCAAGAGCATTTTTGATTCCAAAGGCGAAGAACGAGAGACAGGAATAAGGACTGGTTGATGCAGTCCCTGAAACGGAGAAGGTTCGTTCTTATAGGTAATTACGATTCAACAACTAGCGGGCGTACAATAGGGATTAAACGGCCGTCGGAACCATTTTACAATAGCAGTGCTAGTAAACTGACTTTCAGCATCATTTCCCAATCGCCCGCATCAGCATCAAAGTTTAAATTCACGGCCGGCAAATGGCTATGCAGCACTGACCTTCAAAAGCTGGGGCACTGTCGGCTAAGTTCGGTGCCCGCGGATTGGATGCTAAAGGACCGACCTATGTTCTTTTGCTTGACCAGAGGCATGGTAGAGCCTAGTTGACCTTAACTTCCGCCACAAAGGCGGACTGTATAGTATGCCACGGCATAGCACATATCAGCCTGGAGTGTGTGCTTCACATTGGTAGTTATGGCCAAGCTTGGCAGGTTGCATCAGTGTTCTACCGAGACGAATATTTAGTTCGTTTATGCACATCACACTAGAGCCGCGCATCCATTCCGTCGTGTTGCAGTGGGCCTGTGTCCGTAAATACCGAAGAAGCATCAAACAGCCTCACTAAACTATTAATTTGCAGAGCTGAAAGTCGGGCCTGAAACATGCCTCTGTCTGTTGGACGAATTACTAGCAGCGACTTGTATGATCCGCTACGTCATATTGCAATGCGCAGGTTTCTACCCCCAGAACTCAAACCCGCGGGTGCCGGGATCAGGGGACCCCTAGCAAAACATCAAAGTCTAGCCAAGCACGGATGTTGATCAGACACCAAAGCGTCTGGCAATAAATACCCGACCTCGCAGCACCTTTCAAGCACCATAGATATCTTAACAATAGTTCCGAAACGCCAAACGACCAAAATTATCCCCCTCCGTACCTAACCTGAAACCAGAAGCCGCTATATCCCACCATGTTCGAGAATCTCAGTCTCCGAACTCCATATCCTCCACCGCAAGAAGGATTCTGGGGACAGCCAACGTCAACCCTGAACTGGTGCGAGGAAGTCAGTTATTTCCAGTTATTTCCAACATCTTGGGCACAGTAATTCTTTACCCATTGGTTGATATCTAATACCTATGCCAGGACTATGTCATCAGCCATTATGCTGCCGAAATCACAAACACCTTGACCAACGCTTTGTTCGTTGCGCTGGGCATTCGGGGTGTGCGGAATTGCCTCAAGTACAGACATGACACGGTATTTGTCATCGCATACCTGGGCTATTTGTTGGTAGGCTGCGGTAGCGTTGCTTTCCACGCGACTTTGTCATGTATTGTATTCCCTTTCCTCGAAGCTATGCGCTCACTGACAGGTGCCTAGATCCAATGCAGCTCGTAGATGAGCTTTCAATGATCTATACAACATCTATCCTCTGTCATGCAATCTTTACACAAGACAGGTCTCGCCTGTTCTCGATATTCCTCGGTATCGGACTCGTTGCGCTGTCCATCTCGATCACGGTACGCACTTGAAATCCTTTGAGCCTAGTATATCGTTAACTTGCCCCTCTCAGGCATATTACCACTATATTCAAGACCCTACATTTCACCAAAATGCCTTTAGCATCCTTTTTCTCGCCACAGTGTTCCGAAGCCTATACACGATGGAAGCAATTTTACGACCCATGTTGAGCAAAACTCACATAAACAAGCCCCCCAGGACTTCGGTCTCAAACAAGGAAACGCGAAGCTCTCCGGTACAAAGTGATCGGGCGATAATTTGTGAGATGCGATGGATTGTCGCCATGGGATTCATCACCTGTGCAGCAGGTATCACTGCCTGGAAAGTGGACAACATACACTGCGGTGATCTTGTCCGGTGGAGACATGAGGTGGGACTGCCGTGGGGTATACTCCTCGAAGGCCATGGTGTACGTACTACTTTGTGATTCTTGATTTCAGGCAGCTAACAAGTGGCAGTGGTGGTATGTTATTGCACTGAGATAATATGTCGTTCTTTGACTAATGACATCTAGGCACCTGATGACTGGACTGGGTGTGAACTACTTCATCACCTGGGGGATTTGGCTCAGGCATTGCTTAAACGGCTTGCACGATCAGTATATATTGCATTGGCCACATAAGCTATTATCGCTTCCAAGTGTGGTCCCATCAATTCGGCAGCGAAAACATAGAAGCTTACAACATGCAAAGAATGATGCCCTTCGGGTATCTAGGTCGGAAAAGAAAGAGCTTTAATCAAAACTACAATAGACGATATGGGCTACATACCAAATTATCATTTTGTAATCTATTGGAATGCCATACTTTAGCAATTTCGCGGATCCTCTATGGAGAGAATACCGTCCCGGATGGGTAACGGAGTCTGAATACAACAAGAACAGAATGAGTGTGTATGAAATATGGTATTTTCCTGTTCTCATAAAGTTGACCTCTACACGTGCTTTAGTGAGCTGTCCTCAACTATATTACTACGATTTCATAGGGGATCTAACATCCTCAGACCAAGAGCAAATCTTCCTTATCAGGACTGTATCCCGATCAGAACCATTCATTATCCAGCTATATAAAGGTTAGTTTCCGGCAAAGTGAAAGTATAGCCCCGGAATTAAATGAATTAATTGATAACACATAGAAGGCGAATGTTCCATCGTCGCTGCAAGAGGCAACTAGCGAGGAACACAACGGGTGAACAACAATGTCGCTGCAAAGCGCACTATGCGCTTCCTCGCGTGATACTAGAATACTCGTATCTTGATCCAAAATGAAGATATAGCCATCTGTTTCATAGTAAATCAGATAAAAAGCCATGAGACAGAAATGCACGGATACTTTACCATCATACCCAATAAGAACTAGAGATTCATCATCTCCCCCGAAACGACACCTAATCACAAAATTCCTAGGGCTCCCGCCAGACGAAAGGGCGTGAAAGAGGCCAGATGCTGAGTTGACCAAAAGAATTTCCCCGCTTGCCAGCCGCACCAGAATGTTCTTTGAATACTTGCTGACTATGAGGGAACTGGCAAGACTTAGAAGCTGTATTTTGAGCTGTAGATTTTAGTCATCCGTGGTATATACATAAGTGAACGTGTGTTGTCGATAGCGGCAAGACGTTTGCCATCGGGGAAAGATTGAAAAAACTGCACACTGTGTTTCGTTTCCCAGAAGGTCGGGGCTTCGACGTCAATGGCGACCTTCATGAAACCGTAATGCGGATCTATGCAACTAGCAAGGAAAGACCAATTATCCCATTTGATGGAAAAGAAGTACTGGCGTCCCCTTGCCCCGTAACCTTAGTGCAAGCTAGAGTTGTCATGGGCTTGTCCCAGATATATTCGTCGGGAAGTTGTATGCCTGCGGTTGAAAGTGCCGGAGTCGATTCTGGGTCAAGTTCGAGGACTCTTGGGTCATCGAGCAATGACCTTGCAGTTTGAGAGTACCTTTGAAGTCTTGCCCATATCAGTGGCGTCCGTCCAAGACAATCGTCCTTGTTCATATTTATATTTCGATCCCGATACATTAGGTCAAAAAGTGCCTTATTACGTCTCGTAGCTGCCCACGATAGCGGAGTTCTACCCCCTTCGTCCCCGCGGTGAGAATCAGAACCAGAAAGATCCAGTAAAGGTGCGACAACAGCCGTGTGACCGTGAATGGAAGCTAGTAAGAGAGGATTCTCTCCTTTCCTGTTAGGACGATCTAGATGCGCACCTTGCCGTTCGGTGAGAACGGTGACAATATCGGGGTGACCAGGAGGTGCAGCGATATGTATTGCTACATTGCCTGACGAATCGACACGATTGACGTTGGCCCCTACTTCGAGCAGTTCTCTTAACACAGTCGCATTCTCACCACCCGCTATGATATTCCCGTACGGAAACAATCCTGTCGGCTTGCTGCGCGCACGTCGAAACGCCGAATCTAGATACCCCAAATTCTCTTCAATGGGTTTCATATCAAGGAGAAGTTTGACAATTCTGGACTCCCCAGCCCCAGCAGCACTGATGAGCAACCTGCCGTTGCTGATGGAAGTTATCGAGTATGGACATTTCTCACATGGCATTCTATGTTGCAGTTCTGTTGAGCCCAAAATCTCGAGCAGTGTCATGGCAAGGAACTCCCCTGGAAGTTCCATCCTATGGCAAAACCACCAAATTGAGAATTTAGAGGCAGTTCCATTACTTGAAAGCTCTTCAACCGATGTCGAAGTTAGATGGTTCGCCATTGTGTTAAACCCGAAGTGTATTTTGTAACCTTGTGATTGACTCATAAACTGTGAGTCATCTCTTAGGTTTTCATGATATAGGCCGACGAGCTGGGAAGAATCTGACTAAACTTCTGGATGATATCCTGGACTCGAGGTTCGTTCAAGTAAGACTCTGTCGCTATCATGTTTTCCCAACCTTGTCAAACTCGTCCAGACTGACATCCCGTAAGCCCTTGTCGACATTGAAGCGAAAGTATCGACCGCCGAGCCCAAAGGATTCATGGTTCTCACAAAAACGAGATTCTGTGTCCTCTGTCTCGGTAGTGATGGCGATGATTGCCTTCTTAATCCCTGCTAAGTTGTCTCTGAAGTCTTTTGGCTCAGAAATACCGGCCTCAATGCTCACAAAACACTAAATTCTGGACGGTGCATCTGACAAGATACTTTTAGCCTCGCTAAATACTTCGTCAACAGGATTGTTTCGACCAGTTGCACCGTCGACGTAGTCCTGCCAGCTGATCTTGATAGGGTCAAAGAATCCAAAGGCAGCTGAGGTTGCGCGTGCAGCTTCCCAGATCTTGCACTGGGACAAGGTCAGACTATTGACCGAGGTGCCCGTGGTGTATGAGCCGATACTAACAGGAGTGTTATTGGCTTTTGAATGAGCACAGACAAGCCTACAGGTTACGAGAATACATATTAGTCGATGGCCTAATCCGAGCACGGCGAAAAGCTACTGTACTTACACTTTACACTTTCTGTCATAGAATGAGGCCTGCTCATTACCCTCAAGTAATCCAGCCGTCTTCATGAATTGGTCCGCAAGGACATCATATTGGTATTTGCCCGAAGCTTTCCATATGTCTGTGCTTCGACCGATGACGTTGGACTTGACTCTCTTAAGGCTGAAGCTGCCTCTGAGAGCTTGAGGTATTTCTCAATGCATTCGTCCACGGTCATATGCAGTCTGCCAAGCATGATGGCAATCAGTCTGAATGGAAACACCAGACTCGTCAGACATGAGGTCAAACGGTTTAGGGAGTGGTGACTGCACATACCTTCCAGTGCTTGTGGCCCCAATCAGGTCGAAATGATGGCACGGCTTCGGGGGATTTGCAACATTTACCCGTTTCATTAAGTATTTAGGAACGATCAAGGAGGAAGGTCCGCGGATGCCACCACCGTCTGAAAAACATTAATTAAGTGCATCGGGAGGGCGAGTGGAGAATCTGAACTGCAGAAGTCACTACAAAGGGATAGAAGTTTAATGGCCTTGGATTTAAGTCTTCTCTAGTATAAAAGGATAAGCAAATATTTTAAATATGCAACCAGGGCATATAGGAAATAAATCTTAACAGGTACTAAACTAAAAAAGAATATAGTTATAGTTATGTATTTAGTATAAGTACTGTCTTATGTAAATATCAATTAATAGTTAAAGCTTATAATATTTCAAGAAGATATATCAGCTTATATAAATGTGTAAATAGGCATATAAAGACATAATTTAGGTGAATGAATAATATAATATAGCTTATAGCTTAAAGTATATAATGATAAAAATATTTAGTTTCAAGGCTGGCCTTTACGCTGGCTTCTGGGTTGGTTTCCAGGATGGCTACCAGGCTCGCTACCGGGCTCTCTACCGGGCTCGCTACCGGGCTGACTTCCGGCCCGTGTTCCGGGCTGTAAATATCGACCCACAGTCGATCCGATATATCCAGCAAAGAGTTATCCTTCGGAATACGTATTCCTCGTAGACGGAAAAGGTTTCCCGGCCCGGTAACTAACTACATGGACCACCCCTTTAGAGTAAACATGAGTCTCGGGGGCGAAGAATACACTGGACCTCACTGACATCCGAAATCGCAGATCCTGATATTGGTGTTTTCTCTCCATCCCGACGGGGCACACACATAATAGAATGCGGGGGAGGCGACCCCGCATTCCCTTTGAATCTTGTCTGAGTGTGTCGCTCACCCTAGCTATAAGAACACCACAACAGTGAGAATATGGCTTCTAGCATATGTCAAAAACAATACACCACTGTTACAAAACAACTCGGATAACCGCTACATACCGTAAACATGATATTTGCTGGCTATTCCTCGTGGCTCTTGCTCCCTTGCTTTGGCATTGTGTATATACTAGTTAACGCCATCTACAATCTCTTCTTCCACCCACTCGCCAAAATTCCAGGCCCATTTCTGGCCAAACTAACCAAGTTCTGGCTGTTCTCCGAAGAGCTGGGTGGGGACGCTGCGAACACGTTAGCAGGGCTACATAGGAAGCATGGTACGAGTGAGACGCTGCTGTTTATTGCTTTTCGTGCTAATACCTTATAGGACAGTTAGTTCGAGTATCACCAAACGAAGTCGCAATAAACAACAGAGATGCTTTCACGACCATCAACCGTCAGGGAACCAAGTTTCTAAAGGAAAAAGATTTCTACAACGGTTTCCGTGGAAAACATGGGAATCTTTTCACGTTTCAAGACCCCGAAGATCACTCTCAAAGGAAGAGACTCATGTCACCATCATTCTCTCAAGCCTCCCTCGCAGCTCACCAAGTCATTATATACGAATGCATGAAGCCGCTCATAAACGAAATCATGGGGAACATCCGATCTCAGCAACCAACTCCAATCTTCCCTGCAGTTCGTAAATTTGCCCTTGATTCGATTTGCGCTTTCTCTTTCGGAATTAGCTTGACCAACCCGTCACACATCGATGATGAATCGAGAAGATGCATCTTTGAAGCTTTGGACAACTCGCCTCGCGAGCTACTTTATGTAACATTGACACACCATTACGTTGCACAGTAAGGGCTAATGCGTTCAATAGTTCCAGCATTTCTCTTCTCTAAAGTTTATAGCTGGCGTAATGGCTAAACTCTTCCCTAAGATGGCACCGGACGCCGTTATACAGCTTCAAAAGGTAGGTCATGCCTGAATTCCACAGATACATGTACTTACAATGCCGATAGATTGGTATGGATAAATTAATAGCTTCCCGCAAAGCAACGGACCTAGACCAACCTGGTCTTTTCTCAAACATGGAGAAGCTACTTGGCTCGAAAGAGCAAAAGTTAAGTGACGAACAACTTGTTGCGGAAAGTAGTACGCTCTTCTTTGCTGGTAAGATGGTCTTGACTCTATACCGATACAAGCTCACGAGGTATAGGCACGGACACAACTGCAAGCACTGTTGCTATCGCGCTATGGCACCTGCTACACAAACCTGAGATATACGCCCGCCTGCAAGCCGAATTAAAGACAGTCATGCCGGAGAGGGACTCCCAGCCGACCTTGAAAGAGCTTGAGAGCCTACCATTACTCAGTGCTTGCATAAAGGAAGGACTGCGGATAACCTGTCCGCCACGAGGACGACTGCCACGAGTGGTTCCTCCGGAAGGTTTCCAATGCAATGGTGTATTTATCCCACCTGGCGTAAGTGTCATCACTACTCTTCCTGAGAAAATCATCTGACACGGACAGACAATCGTGACTAGTCCGATATCTTACCTCCTCTTTGATGCAAAAGTCTTCCCGCAACCCCTCGAGTATCAACCTGATAGGTGGCTACAAGGCAATGCCAAAGAGCTAGAGACATACTTGTATCCTTTTTCGAGAGGCACACGCTCTTGCATTGGCCAGACGTAAGATTCGAAGGCTCCTTCTTATGACCATATTACTGACTGCAGCTAGACTATCCCTTGCAGAACAGCGTATCTGCATCTCTCAATTTGTGCGCAGATTTTCGCCGGCTGACGGGCCAAAGTTCAGAGAGGTAAAGCTCAAAGAGTATATCAATATTGTAATCATGGATGAGCTAGCCATAAAGCTAGTCGAGGCAGATTGAATAAAAGCCATAATGAGCAACAACAAGTCACTAGACTTGTTCAACTTTGTTGTGCTTTAGGGACGAGATACGGAACGTGTGTCCAAGCGACTGTGTTTGGACGAGGAAAGCCGAGTAATTAGGGAAATTGCGAACTTTTTGTTGGGCCCAGGGACTTGTAGTGCCAATTGCGAAAGCTATCCTAGTTTTCCCACTTCCGGTACATAGCAACAAAAAGTGATATCTTCACTGGATGCTTTACAGTCATAGAGTCGTGATGCCATAACAGACCATGTCGAGCAGTCGAAGACTCTTTTGCTTCGACGCCGCATATAGTATGAAAAGATGTTGTTAAGGAATATGAAAGTCGCGCCAGGATATCTAGCGGCGCTTAAGTTGCCAGCAATCACAGGTGACACTGTGCATCTTCATCTATGCGCGATATGCCGTCTCCTACAGATCTTACTGCTCGTGGTTGCCGATGTCGTAGTGCTTTTGAGTTCTGCTCGTTCAAAAGTGAACGACCATCTAGTGGTATCTCTAAGTAGTATTCCTATACCTCAGAATGGGAATAAGAGCGGAATCCATTTGTTATTTCATTGTCTCTCTAATATATAGATTGTACGGACTGAGGCCACAAAGAGTCAAGGCGACGCTATCTCAACCTGAAGAACCTCAAGATTGTATCCTTTGCATCTCTGATATCCAGAGACAGCTTCATATACCATGCTACACATAGACCAAACAAGGTATTCGTATCGAACGGCTACGAAAGGTTAGCATATACTACCGGGAAAAGAAAACCATTCACACTAACCACCGGCTTCGTTCCTCCACTGGTCTCAACCCAGTAAAAGGCTCTTGGGATCATCTCGCGCTCATACTCATCACAGGCTGCCGCGATCGCGTCGGTCTCAATTACTCCCTCAGCTGTCATAGCTTTGTCAAGTCGCTGTATCAGAGGCGAGATCACTGTCGTGTCAAGCATGGCTTGGTTGCCACCCATACCTCGGTTGGGCAACATAACGTGCATGGCGTCACCCATCAACCATACCCGCGGATGCCCGAGATTAGGATTGGTCGCTGTTCGTACCTTGGAACGCCAGTTGAGAGCCGGTCGTTTGCTTGCCCGAGGTTCGAAAACGTAGACCTCTTCTGATTTGATGACCTGTATGACTTGGCGGCTGGGATAACTATCAGCATGTACCTCTGCATTAAATACGGATGGTAGGGGCACATACAACGCATCGTCCCAACTACTCAGAGATTCTTCCAGAAATTTCCAGGTTGCATCTTTGTCCCAATCTTTGATGTCTTTTGGACAATCATCCTTCTGCATCTGTAAAGAGAACGTGAACGTGGCCATATTCTCGTCGTAGTCAGAAGATCCATTGGGTGATCCTTCGTCTTCTTTTGCAACATCTTCGTGCTGTCGGCTCGGGATGTACGCTGTCGTGGAATGTTAGTAATCGAGAATCACGTTAAGCAGAATAGAGAGTCGACTGACCAACGCAAAAGTAGGTCTTCCTGTGTGAGAAAACCAGCATCGGTGAATGTCGAGCCGCCGGAGGCAGTGCTGCTAGCTTATCCTTGGACAAATGTGTCTTTGTAATGAAGTTTATAACGGGGATGGCTTGAATGTTACTCAGGCCGAGCTGTTCATTGATCTATTCCACTGTCAGCGTTAAGTGGGCGCAAGTGTGATCGTTGTGCCCCCTACTCTAGAGTGACTTCCGTCCGCCCCAATCAACAGATCGCAATCTGAGGAAGTGCCATCATCAAAGGAGACGCGCACTCTTTCCCTTCCTTGGTCGGAAATTATATCATAACGAGAGAATCTTTTATCAGAGTGCACGATACCACTCTGTATTGGCTTTTCTGAAATTATATCACGCAGCACCACCCTGTCCATGGGCGCAGAGCCGTGATACTGCTCGCTGATCCGCCCCATTTCCAAGAGTGGCTTCAATTTGTGATCGTACCAGATAGGCGTGGTTTCCTCGTTGGCGTCGAAATGCCCTAGGCTAGCTTGAATCTTCTTGTTTTGTTCTGGGGTGAGATTGAGACGAAAAGCGTCCATGCACGGTTGGGCGACACGGATCTGATAGCCGTCTCGTTTTGCATCGGCCGCTAGCTTCTCGTACACGTCTACCTTGACACCTGCGTCTAGGAGCCCACTTGCAAGCAACGGTCCTGAAAGACCACATCCTACGATAATGACATTGAATTGCGGCATACTGAAGTTGCAAGTTTGGAGACGAGGTAGAGAAAGTTGATGAATGATAATATGACGTGTTTCAGTTTCGGCAAGGCACATAGGCAATATAGAAATAGCAATTAGTAATTATATCCTACTCGCCCTAGCGTTAACCACTAAGCGAACGGGATTCAGACTTGGCATATCGGATCGGGAACGCAACAAGCATAAAAGGCTAGTACGCTACCCCGGAATCTGCACCCCATAGCCGGTTTCCATTTCGGAACTGGGTAACAGCCCGGTGGCTGTAATATATTGTTGATGTTCCCTATAGTGCCCCAGAACCTGCATCCTATAGCCGGCCTTCTATTCCGGGAGTGAAAAGGGGAACAAACAATCAAGACCGGTCCGATCACTGAGTACTGTATTGCTCAATACCGAACTGAAGTAGAATGCCATCCAGAAATAACTGGTTGGAATTGGTTGTTCCTCCTAGTATAAATTGCTTATTACATAAAGTCCTTTAATAGAAAGGAATGGTAAAATATTACTACCTTATTTAGGTGTAATTAGTTTCAGTATTATTAATATCCTCACCATTCTTTATACGATCATCCCACCATTTATGAATATCTGGCGCTCCGGACACCAGCATCTTGATGTCTCCATCAATCAGGAAACTGTCTAGGGCACTCTCTTCAAAGTTATCCATGTTATCCATTCTCAACGCCCGGAGAGAATAGCTTTGACAAAATGCTATCAAGTTCGGTGCCAGAACCGAATGTGGTTTCGTAATGAGATGAGGTAGCCTTTCCATGAATCCTGTTCCTCTTCTTCCCTCCATTGCCGAGATAGATTCAGCTGGAGACAATTAGATGTAACCACATACTTAAGAAGCAACACTTACCTAGGCCGAAGCGGATGAGCTCGCGCTCTGTTTCCAAAATGCGATAGTTCGAGAATATCGAATTTGCTGTTTCCATCTTGCGTGCGATAATGTGAAGGTAGTACACCAGCAATTCGAAAGGATAAGAGTTATCAATCCAAATGTCCCAAAAGTTTCCACCGTGCGCCATCTCAACGGACGAGACCATATCATCCCATATAGGCTTCTCAATGATCCACTGGAGAGACTCCAGTAACCAAAGCTGATCACCAAAGGAATTGATGGATCGCCCCAGAGTGGCTGCTGCTTTGCTCATCAGAAACTTCTCTCGATCTTGAAACGACATTCTGGATCGCCAGACAATGGGGTTGCGCAGATGGCCCTCAAATATATCTCTGATTTCACCTGGCGAAACAAATATCGCTTCGGAATCCAGCCACATGGCCAAGTCGTAATCGAAATGATCAGCCGCAGACATTTTCTTGATCGATTGATAAGCGTATTTATCATACTTCTTCAACAAACTGCTCGTGTCTTCGGGTGTCAGGTCCGCTCGTAGCCTGGCTGGCAGAATGTCGTATAGATTCACGATATTAAAAGTTGGATTGTTCCCGGGAACGTTATCTTTTGGTGTTTTCCATCGACTGAATGTTTCGTTGCAATCTTCGAGGGTCGAGAGAAGCTGCGTAAGGCCCTCGACTTCTGCAGAGTTGGATACGATGATGTGCCAGTCGACCTTATGATGGTCGACGCATAGACACTTGACGGATTGTAAATAGCGAAAGACTTGAGGAAAATGCCCATCCTCGATATAGTGTTAGATTCAGGAATACTGTGGTAAGAAAGGGGGGTCTCACAAAGGTTGGTAGCAATATGGCGAGGCGCTTGGTATCTATGGGCTGCACCTCGCTGAAATTGGGGTGTTCTGGTTTGTAATTGACGAGCCGGTCGGTGTATCGACTATTATTGGCTGGCTGCGGCGGCCATGATGGCGGATCTGACGGAATCCATGGATTCTCAATATCGTTCGGTCGAAAGGGGAGATGAGGCGATGTATGTAGCGCGAAGAAGACGACGGTAGAAAATGTCAGAACTGAGATGCCAATTAGAGCGTTTTTGAGCCTGCATCCAAAATTAGCATAGTCGAAGATGTTTGTCGCAACATAGAGCTGACTTGCCAAGCAAGATAGTTGGGCTTGGCAAAGAGCTGTTCATACGAATATGACATCTTCATGTCAAACATTCTATTCATAACAGCGCCGAACAAAAGATTGTCCTTTGGTGGATGAAATTTGTTTGGAGATGGAGAAATGGGAAGTACTTCTAAATCCCATAAATCACATGACGGAGTCCAGACCCGGATAGTATATCTACGAAACCTTTAGCAGCATGCCAGCTCGCGTCTAGCCCAGCGACTAGTAAAGCTTGTTCCATCTCACTTCTCTATCAGGGCTAGCGAGGAACATGGCGCGATGAAAACAGCCGCTATATGGACGGTCAACGAACTGGAACTAAGCCTCAATTGACTGACTGGAATGAAGACCTTCTATTTCTACCGAACCAAACGCCATGACAAGGAATTCTATATGCTATGCCACCCAATCACTTCTGCACATGTAAATCAAATCCGTTTTCCGCTAAACTCCTCCGCCGGCCAACCTTGCATTGTCCTCCTCTCCTCCACAACGTCGCCACCCATGATAAGGGTATGTTCCAGCAAGCAGCTATCACTCTTCATCTGCGCACCACTTAAAAGTCGACTTCCTGTTCGGAGTACGCATCTGTCGCCAATCTCAACCCTGTTCAGGTCGAACTTGCCACGCGTGTTGATGTGTGCGACGACACTGGCATCATCTACTACCACGCGATCGCCAAGGGTGATAAGATCTGGTTCAGTAAACATGAGGCTTGGGGTGCCGTTGACAAAGAGTGCGCAGTCTTTGCCAATCTTCGCACCCATGAGCTTGAAGTACATGACCATCCAGTGAGTCCCTGTGAGAAGGTTCAGGATACCATTCCCTTTGTAGCATTGTCGGCGAAGGCGCTCAATGCCGAGAAAGATCTGCCAGCGCTGGCAGTACGGAGACTTGTCCCAATCGTAGTTACCAGCCTTGCGACGGCCCATGAGTAGCCACTTTGATCCAATGATAATTATCAGCGCAAGAACGGATTGGATGGTGGAGAGGACAGCGATGCCGGCCAACATGGTCAAGAAGATAGCGACAAGGTCAAACCAGACGTTCATTCCACGGGGAAAAGAGCTTCGGAACATGATGCCCACAAATTGAATGGATGAGACGCTGGGTACATCCCAGTACACAGCGGTGAAGACTGTGAAGAACGCAGAGTAGAGGAATATGGCGAAGGGGCCGAGGATATAGTAAGGTGCTAGCTTGAGGTAGAAAGCTCGACCGAATGGAGAGAGATGCTGTGCCCAGTCATCTTTGCCGTCGCTGCCCTCAGTGTCACTCCCAGATGTGATACTGGGCTGTGTATCAGGACGGTCCTTCTCATCGTTGAACTTCTTGTCGTTGGTGAGGGTATCCTCCGACTGCATGTTACGTATGTGAGACCGAGAGACCTTGGTGTCACTACCGGTTGACAAGCAGACTGCATCGCCAGCCTTGGAGCCGACATAAGTGCCTTCAGGGACATAGGTGCCATTTCGTTTGGTCAAGGCACCAGATCCCATGGTAGTACGCTCACCGACAGTGACGCCAGGGAGAAGACAAACACGATCAGCGATCATTGCACGGTCGTGGATGGTGACCTTCTCAGACCCGATCCCATCAGAAGTGACGAGATGAGAACGTGAGCCAAAGACTACATCGTTACCAACGTCGATAAGATGGTAGTCGCCGATGCTAGGTCCTGTACCAGGCCAGTACACACGCTCACCAATCTTAGCACCTAGCATTCTTAGCGCAATAGACGTAGCCTCGTAGTGCTGCCCAAACAAAGAAGTCATCCGATGAAGCTTCCCCTCAGGCAACAGCGTCTTGATCAAGGTCGCCCTCCAAATATCCACCGTGGATCGCGAATTGGCTTTGAGTTTGCCAAAGAGGCAGTCCAGAGTAGACTTGACCAAGATGACGAACCCGAAGAGGAAGAAAGGACCGAAAAGGCACCCGAGAGCAAGAGCGAGGTAATGATAGGCAATTCGGTTTGGTTGAGTAAACCAGTCCACACTGCTTCTCAATGGAGCCTTATGGTTAACCTTTTGACCCTGTGTAGTGACCATACCGACAAGACCAGCCATCCAAGGAACTGCAGAGAGGAACAGACCGATGAGTTTAAGTGGCATGGTGAATAGCAGGTTCAACACCCAGTGAGGCTTGGGCTTCTCGCTTGGAAGTTGCTCCCTATACTCCTCACTTGCGTCCTGCATCTCCCAGCTCGATGAGTTGAAGCCTAGGCATGTATTAGGCGGCATGGTCGTTCCGGGCGCAATGATTGAAGACATTCCAACAGAACAGTTGCTTCCAATGGTGATGCGACCAAGATACATCGACGTATTCCCCTCAGCAGCAAAAGGACGGCAGATGCACTTTGTGAGATTGCAATCATCACCAATCTCAATCAAATCCCATTCCCCGATCGCCGCGCCCTCAAGCTTAACATTCCTACCAATCTTGGCACCCATCAGCCGACAGTAAATCCTCTCCGTCATCTCATTCGCATCAAAGAAGCCTTTGCCGCAGATAGCAACAATCTTTTGCACAAGCCACCATCTGGTATGATACATTCCCCACATGGGGTACAGTCCTTCTCGATAGCGACCGATGATGAGCCATTTGCAGATGATGCCAATGATGGGTGATACAAAGCCCATGATGATACGGGCGATGAGCATGGAGACGGTGAGGTTGAGGAAACGGCCGGGGAGGGAGTGGTTGGTGGGGAGTTTTTGAGAGTGGGCGAGGGTTACGAAGAAGATTGTCCACTGGATGGCACGTCGTAGCGGGTAGAAGATCACGAGGGGGAAGAGCTGGAGGGTCATTAGGAAGGGGTTGGTGGAACTGCAAGTGTCGGTACATCCGACGATGGCACTAGGCTGATCAGACTCATCAGTCTTACAATCGAGCATCCTGTCGATATGCACCGCGATGGAAGTAACAGTGCCGCCGTTGAATACTGCTGTGATGGGGAGGCTGATGCAGAACTCGGTACGAAGCATCGAGAGAAGACGACCAGCGCGAAGAGAGTCACCGCCAAGACTAAAGAAGTCTGCGTCGCAGGGAATGTCTGCTGGTGGGAGGGATAGGACTTCGGCGAAGGCTTTGGTGACGAGTCCTTCTGTGCTGGCGGCCAGTTCGTTCATAGAAGCCATTTGAAGTTGCTCGAGTTCTGCGCGGAGTACTTCGACGTTGATGTTTCCGGATGAGTCTTTTTGGAATGGGTGAGTCATAATGTGAATCTCGGTAGGGATCATGTAGTTGTCGATGATTGATGCCAATTGGTGCCGAATGCTGCCGGGGATATCGGAGTCAATAGCACCTTCAGCTTTAGGCGCAAGTACAGCTTCTGGAGAACCATCATGAGCGCTGGGAAGGCAAAAGGCATCCAGGTCTGGAGCGATGCTCTGAATATGAGTTGCAAGCTTTGTGTAGTCAATAGAGCAAGGCAAGCACTGAATAGACTCTGATAAGGGTGCATCAGGCGGAGGACAAACAGCATCCCAGTGTCTCCCCATGTAAGGTGTATCATCAGTAACAGAAGGAAGACCCAGCCGTTGGCCGAGCCTGATACGTAGAACCTTGTTGTTGTTCTTGGGAAGGTCTTCCATGTAGGTGATCAAGACGGGCCACTTTGCCTGCTGAAGAGAAGACTTCAAAGCGCCATGAAGAGTCCTCAGATCAACACGGGGAGTATCGGGAGGCGTGACGAGAACAATAGCGACGACTTCTTGAAGAACATCATGCGATGCTGAAAACGCCAAAGCCTGTGACACCCTTCCATAGATGGGAGAGTCACTTTCTCTCGAAGCCGTCATGATCGCATTCTCAACTTCAAATGAAGAAATCAGCTCTCCACCACGGTTGATAACTTCTTTACTCCGACCAGTGATGTAAAGATATCCATCATCGTCCATATATCCAAGATCACCAGTATCGAACCAGCCAGCCTCGTTGAATGGTGATTTGTCGTATGTACCATCGGGTTTGAGATACCCTGGGAAGACAGGTTCGCCGCGGACGCAAATGCGACCGACTGTGCCGTTTGTGACGGTTTGTTCGGACCAGTCGAGGATGGTGAGTTCGGGGCCGGTGCTGATACCTGATGTACCTTCGCGATCGAGACGATAATCTAGTGGAGGTGAAGAAATTGGCATGCACCTGTAGCTGTTAGCATGTTCCAGCCTGAAGGGTAATGACTTACTCTGTCATTCCGTAACTCGGCAAGACGACACAGTTGAACGTGTCCCTCAGTTGATACGCCAAAGAAGGTAGTAAACCCCCAGCAGCGTTGCAAGCCAACCGTATCCGACTCCTCTTCAAAGCTTCTGGTCGCGCTGCTGCTTCTGCGATGATGATAGAGTGCATAGACGGTGAAGCGTAGTACCATGTTGGCTGAATGGTCTCAGCCACGTCCCAAAACAGATTGGCGTCGAAGGAGGGACAGCAGACTGTTGAGCCGCAGGAGAAGATTGGCGCAAAGATGTTTCGGACTAATCCCCCGCTGTATAATATTAGCAGAAGCGAGTGGCAGACTGGTAGTGGTGACTTACACGTGGTAGAGCGGCATCATGTTCAGACAGATGTCTTCAGCTGTGAGACCCCATGATTCGATGACGAAAGCGACGCCGGCAATGATAGAATGGACTGTCAGTGGAACTACCTTCTTGGTACCCGAAGTTCCACTCGTGAAGAGGATCAACCCAATGTCATCAGCCTTGTTAGCGACTCGTTCAGCGCTGCCGGTGGGGATAGCTTCTCCATCGACTGTCCTTAGCGAAATGCCCTCATCTCGAGTCCAGTCCATGATGAAGATCTTGATATAGCTATCTGATACCCAATTGGCATCAAGCTGTAGTTTCTTGTACTCATCCTTCGTTGTGAGGATAAAGTCTGCTCGCGCTTGAAGAATGTCTGCTCGGAATTGTTCTGGTCCTGCAGCGGGGTTGATAGGTGATGCGGTGTAGTAAGTCGTAACAGCCATGCAAGTCGCTGCTAATAAGGGACCGTTTGGTAGCGCGATGGAAACAACAGGTCTCTTGATCGATGCGTCAACAGGAAGTTGGAAGGTGTCCACGAATTGTCGTAGTTCGCGATGGGTGATGACATCCTCATCTGTGGGGGCTCGTAGGGCTGGCTTGTCATCGTGGCCAATGAATTGCGCAAAGGATGTATACGAGCTTTTGACTAGCGCTGAAGCTTGCTTGATTAGGGATGAAAGCTCGTGAGTGCTGTTGGTCTTGGCATCTTCTGGGAGTTGGGTGTAGAGTCGTGTGTACGTCTTGATGAGTTCGAAGACTGGCCATGGACCAGGTAGTTCCTCAAGGAGATGGCATAAAGTGTAGAGGGAAGATATAGAATATTGTTGGGCTATTGGTATGGCAGCCAAGACATCAGCTCTGTCTGGGCTCAGTGCTACAAGGGACTTGAACTGTTGACTCTGCTTGACCGCCATTGGCGGCAGCTCGCAAAGCTCTCGCAACAAACACAGCACACTCATATCTCGGTGAACAAAGCGGTAAAAGAAACAAAATAACGATGATCCTTTGACTCAGAGTAATGAAGATCTGATAATCCTCTTCATCACAGCGCTCTCTCATCTCTTATAACAACTTCAACTCTCATCACAGCCCTTCCACTTTTTTACCCAATTTCGTCTCGCCGATAGATCAACAGGCAGAACATGAAGTCTAATCTGCAAATGACACGGGCCCAAAGATCATCCAAACCTGAAATCAAATCACAAAGGTCCTACCGCCGGTCCACTTCATCCCACTTAGACTTATTGGCGCCCCGATTTACGACAAGGGATTCTCCTGTAGATCCGATTTGATCTTCACGGCATTTCCTCTTGGGCTCCATACTTACACGCTGGGTGACAGCTGAGTGGGTGGACTGCCCGGCATTGCCACGGGTTAATCATTACTGACAGTGCCGGCGCTTGCTGGCTTGGTATAGACTAAGATGTTACTAAGGGGCGGAGTGACATATTATTTTTCCTTGGTGGCCGTGCAGAAGCGGTTCGTGCGCTGATGTCACAGAGGAAATACGACGACGAATAGTCTTCTTGACTCGCGAAGAGTCCATTGTTGAGGCTATGGCCCTTTGTGTTATATCCACCGATTGAGTTTACGACAATATAACAGGTCGAACCGTAAATGCTCCTCGTTCATCTATTTCCCGATTGGTTGGGGTGATGTAACCTGGTTCTTTGAGCCGCATGGTGCAGGGATCCACGACCCCGGTCTCGGAGGGAAACACGTAAGCTCAACTTGACGATATCATGTTGATAAGTGAGCGAGTTTCAAAAGGTCCGGGGACTACTAACGAATTCGTAGATCGGTAGTTGGACACGAGGTAGGCTTGGTGATTTGTGAGTCAGGCAGGGTTGGAGATTGGAGCGGCCGAATGGCGAAGCGGTTGGATGCAAGGCATTGCACGATGCAGGTGATCACAGTTGAGCATGTTATCACTACTGCGTTAGGTTGAAAATCAAGGGTTCTGTCTCATTCATCAGAGTTACTGCCCAGCTGAGACGCGTATCTCATGACCCGCAATGACATCTGTCCAAAGTTGGACATTCCACCACTTAAGCGAATCATCAAGCTTATCCCCATAACTTACCAGCATCCCCAAGATAAGACTATGATAAGGGTAATCTCAATATCACGGGGCAATGAATTCTCCGATGAAGTGTTTCTAGATTATTAACGACCTTCCAGAGTGGAACGGCGACACGTCAGCTGTCATTGGACCTCCCGTAAATCTATATCGAGACGGCCCCGTCGATTAAACTTTGCGCCGCTGCGGCTTTCCCGCCTCTTTCTGCTCCCCGAAACCTTAATAGACTTCATCTCACTGTCATGAGATTGGGCTGACGAATGGTTCTTCTGATGTCGTGAGAGCAACTGCCGAAAGAGCTATTGGTGCTAACGGACTCACCATGCACAGGCTGCCTTATAAGGCGGTTCGGTCGTCAGACTCTTCTGAGAAGGATCTTGTCTTATATAGGATACGATACTTAAGGTCTCGTACTGGTATGTTACTATTTCCACGTATCAATTTGTTGCTTACGCTACATCCCGCTCGCTAAAAACAGGGAAGTAACAATAATTTATCGCGAGGTCTATGCACAGGCCTATAATCTCATCAGCAAATGCAACAAATGTGATCTGTTCGCGCGCCATAGTGATCCATCATTTCGACCACCTCCTTCGTTACACTGAATCTCCCAATACTCGTGCCTCACCCAATCACTATTACGCTTCAGCGTCACACTAGGTCTACCCTGCATCCTACTCTCACCGTAGAACCCACAGAGAAGTTGCCGCTTTTCCCGCTTCTCCTGATCCAGGCTAAAACCTTATTCACTGGTCTTATCTTCTCCATGCCCTGTGTTGCAGTCCGTTGGCGCTAACGCAGATAGAGAACTCCCAGCCATTGACCTCCCTGTATCAATCATTGGGTACTTCTGTCTTGACTGGCAGCAATTTCATGCCATTGAGTTTAGCCGTTATTTTCAACGCCGCTCGCTATCAGCACAAACCTTAAACCCCCTCTCGAGTGTATTTCAAAAATCCCGAGACATTGGATATGGCGATGTTTATGTTCTCGTCGATTACCTTGGGACATTTGTTATCTGCAAGTGGGATGAAGGCCTGAAACCCCGTGCTCCCCGGTATGCGTTAGTCCCATGACGTCGTGATGTTTATGGTGGAGGGGGTGGAAAGGCTACTACGCCAAGCCAATAGTGATGTCTTGAGACCGTAGTCTAAGTGGGCAAAGAAACCACTAAGTTGTAAGTCAACGCGTGATACCAGCCCAAAACTTCAGGTGAAAGGAAATGCATGCGACGTAGCAGAAACTGATTCATGATTAATCACGTATAAAACTATAAATTAATTGTTCTCAAATCATGACCTCCAACATATTAGATTTATATGTCAGGCTGCAATATAGTTTCGTAGTGTGACTACACTTTAGTAATGACCTCTGGGTGTAATCTCCCGCGTCCAAACCACTGTGCTCGAGCGAGAAATGGCCTTCCAGTTCACCAATAACAGAGACGTCAACATTTAAATAGGTGAAGCTTAAAGTTTGTCATAATCTTTCGCATTTCGAAGGATACCAATGATACGGAATGAAGTAGCCTGTCTCCCATACCACCATTCATTCAATCTCGTTATGCTTGCCTTTCTAGTGGATCGGCGTACTTCTTTGCAGTACCTCTTCAAAGATTAATTGACCTACTCTACACGCGGTAAGATATTCCAAGTGTGCATTGGATAACTGACGGAAAACTCACATTGTCACTTTCGATCTCTCGTTTGCGCGATCTTTGAATGTTTGGTGGTTTCTTCTGAGTAACATTCTCTGATAATTCTCCTATGGCCTATCGGCTATAAAGGTTCCCCCGTGTCCCGTCATATCAAGCATAATCTGCCCGCTGCTCTTTGATATGCATCTCCTGTTCCATAGACGGCGGCGTGGTCAGGTTAGGCTTCGGCCTGATGGGGAGATTAACGAGGCGATGTCGCGGGTTCAAATGGTTTGCATGTTCTCCTCCGCGCCAGCAACTGCGGCCGTCCTGCCAGCGATGGGTCCTGATTTCTTCGATCAAAGAAGTGAAAGCTTTGACTTCTTCATCAGTGGGTCGTTTCATGTTTGCCCAGAGGTCTTCCTGTTTGGCATGCGTCCTCCATACCATCAGATCCAGTGGAGTTCGGTTGTTGAGGTCTTTGCCATCCGGGTCCGGTTCTGTAAGGCCGTGTTTGCGTAGATAGGTGATGTGATCCAGGTCTCCGTACAGAGCTGCGTAATGCAAGATAGATCTCCTCAAATTGTCGCGAAGGTCAAGTCTTGCACCTCTTTTGTAAAGATGATCAAATATGCTATTACACCAGGGGATACAAGAGGCGAGATGAATAGGCGTCCGTCCACGTATATCTCGTGAATTGATGTCGGCTCCTCCGTTCAAAAGCGTTTCTATCTTGCCATAACAGTCCCAGGGCTCGGCCGCATTGCAACTTGCCCAGATGAGATGATGTATAGGAGCAAATTCTGTAGCATCGGCCTTGAGGTTCGGATCAGCACCCTTTTCCATCAGAGCCTGAACTATCTTTGTCGATTTTACCTCCACAGAGGCGCATGCAACATGCAATGCGGTGAAGCCCTTCGAGTTTTGAGCATCAGGGTTACTGCCCCAGTTGAGCAGAGCTTCAGTGACATCATACCATCCGTAGAAGGCAGCAAGGTGGAGGTGAGGATAGTTATACGCGTGATTGACAACATCGAGGTGACCCAGACGGTTGAAGATGGTGAGCATGGCATTCAGGAAGGGTAATTCCTCGGGATTCTTCTCGACCGAGAAGAAATGCTGTTGTTTGTGAACATCTACTAATGGGAGGTCAGTTACATGGTCATGACTGGGGGACAGGATTGATTTACGGTAGTCAGACATGGTACGTGTTGGCAGATTTCTAGATCTAAGGAGAAGGGGGGATAAATGGACACCGGGCCATGATGGGTGTGCAGCACGATATTTATACGCGTGTGAGGGGCGTGATCTGGGCGTCAGCTGCTATCCTCATCAACTCAAACAACACTCTTACAAACTCAGTTCAATCAGTATGAGCTTATACACAGGTGAGGAGTCACTCAGGTGGGCCTGTTGCAATGCAGGCTTTGGGCAGCATCTTCATCAAAGCTCTAATATGGTGAGGGGCGGGTATCAGCCATCCTTTTTATTTGGCGCGATATCCTTCAGGGTAGCTTAAGTTGGACGTGAGTTATCGCTCAGGGAATTCTGACCTATAAATGCAACTTAAATGATCAATTGACGAACTATCTTTGTATCTGAAAGAGTTCCATATCGCCGAAAGCTCAGCAACTGAAGCTTAGCCAAGACATGGTTCTCGGAGCGGTCTTGCCAATGGTCAGTTGAATTTAAACTCAACGTTTATTACCAGCCTCCGGTAGAAAGTGAGTCACTCTTGTGTGTTGAGAGATGCCAATTCCAATCCAACGTGATGCAGCGTTCGATACGCGTTTTGACTGCGTGGAATGTGGAAGCTCAATTGCGCCACGTAGGAATAACGCTCCAAATCACAGCCAACAATTTTGGCGGGAGAGATCCGATTTGTACATGTCCAAGTTAATAAGTTTCGGAATTTGGAAAGGGTCGGACCGCCAGCCAATCTGTGGTGGCTTATACATAAAACACAGTCATCCTGACAGTCGTGATTGGCTGCGGGCATACTTTTGAATTTGCCAATTACAGTATTTCGGTGTTTCCAATATGAGCCCTCTCCAGTAAGTAGGTAAGTTCATGAACAACGCGGCATATCATTCGTCGAGGCCACCTGACTCCCGCCCGACGAAGAGCATATCCGCTTAAACACAGAGTATCTCAGGTTAAGCGCACAAATGGAAGACATGATATATCCAGAAATTTATGCATTTCGGCTTTCAGTCCATGACCATTAGATGTAAAATCCTCCTCGTTATAAGTTCAGTGATTATTCATTATAAAAGCATTCCTCCCAATACCAATACTCCACGCGTTCCAATCGAAACCTTAATTTTTGTCTTGATATAGTTTCTTCCAATAAATTGCGTCAACCTTGACAATTGCAAAGCGCAGGAAGGGCCACGACTGCATTCGAGTGCGGAGAGTCTTTCTCCATGTCGCGAGAAGGTTCTGATCATACGCCGTCATATCAGGCTGCCGTTTCTGCAGACACAGCATGTAGCAGAATAGTCCGGGATATGCAAGACAGTTCCGTGTGTATGCGGGCCAGAATGCTGACTGATGCCTGGCATCTAAGCCACGGATGAATTTGATGACTGTTTGGATCAGACCGCGGCATGCTTGGAGCACTGTCTCCACTGAGGATTGTACGTGGTTAAGCTGTGTGTTGCTGTCAATGATGGGACGTAATAATGCTCGTAGAACCAGAATGTGCGTGGTGTAATATGCTACGTAGAGGGATCTGTGGCTCTTCACTGAGTCATCGGCATCGCTGTCACCTGACTCTGGTCTGAGCGCTAGCGACTCGGGAAGATCTTCTAGCCATTTGAGTAGCTGTTGACGTGGACCGCGAGCTTGCTCGAGAAGAGAGTCAAGCACTTGAGGCCGTGATGCGGCACGTAAGGAGCTATTTTTGTCACTTTGTATCAATACATGGCCAGAGGAAGGGCTATGAAGAGGTCTTACAAGAATTGTCGACAGATTCCGCTAGTGATCTCGGACAATGAGCATAAACGGATGAAATAGTCAAGTGACTGATCTCGAATGCTCTCCGGTATTGTAGCTGTAGGATCAAGAGTGAAGTCGGCAGATGTAAGTGGCGAAACATCCCAGTCATCATCAGATATCATGGAAGACCGACCATGAGTTACTGCACGCCAAGTATACTCGACATAAACAGCCCACCATAACCGTCTCCGCAGACGAACCTCCCACGCTGGCAATTTCCATCCAGTAGGGTTGACATTCAAACCAAGTGACTGAGCCATGGCCAGCATGGAAGCCGCCAAGGACCACACGAAGGGGTTCTCCACTACGACAACATCAAAGGGAGTGTGATTGAGAAGAAGAAGAAAGATCTGGATGGTGGAGAGACGGGGAAAGTGAAGTTCCTTCTGAAGACAGGTGTACGAGACTTGCCATAGATCGTTGACGTCGGGCTTGAAATATGCACTGTCGAGACAGAGCTTCTCATCCCAGGGCGTGAAGGGCAGTGCAAGCGCGTATATACCCGCAAGTAAGCCGGTAGATGCTTCTGCGACAAACTTATTCAAGTCTTCAAAGACCACAGAGCGAGAAAGTATTGGTAAGTCTTCGAAAACAAATCTGAAGTACCTGTTCGTAACTAAGTAAGTACATTGCACAAGTACAGAGGGAGAGGTAAAGGCGTACAACTTTACCAACGCCACGCCCGTCTCTCGATCCACCAATTTCTCCAGGTTTTCCCTATCACCCAGTGACGACATACACTTATCCACAATCTTCTGGCTCTCAATCGCAGTCCCAGTTTGACTCTGCAAAAAGTGAATCGGGGGATTCGCCGAAAACGCATGTTGCTGCCGTCGGTACGCAACTCGATAAAAGTCGACTTCATCACTACTCGAATACGGAAAATGATTGAGAGAGAATGGATCAGATTCGTTGGAGAAGCCTATTAGTGAGGTTGAGTGGTCTGGCCGTTGGTCGAATGAAAGGCGCTCGAACAGGGCTGTTGGGCTGGCGGGAAGATCCGCTGTTTTGCTAGGAGTGGCGATGGGGATTTCTCCGTAGTCGTCCGAGGGTGTTGGGTCGTCGAGGGGCTCGAGATTGGGGAGTTCGCCGTTGGCGAAGAAGTCAAAAGGCTGGTCTATGCCGTGTTGGTCGAATGACATGTCCCAGTTGATGCCGCCTCCAGGTGAGAAAATTGATTGCGATACTGTGCCATCCAGAGGTGTTAAATCAAGCCCCGGTTCAATACCGGAAGATTGGACCTCTATTATCCGTCAGCCCATGCCTTTTATTTCATTCTCTCTTCTCACCATCCTGCATGCTTAACGTCTCATACCCACCAACATTCTGCATCAGTCCCTGCTCCGGCTGCGGCACAACAATCGGCGTCCCTCCAACCTCGGAATTCAGCCGTCTCGTCCTATTATCCCTCGGCTTCTTATTCGGATTCCCCACAAACGTGCAATCGCGTCCGGTGCGATCACAGAGCTGGCATGGACGCGTCGGATCAGGGATATTGCAGAGCACCTTGCGAGCCCTGCATAAGTCGCATGGCCTTTGAGACTTGGAGCGGTAGCGCCTTATGCCCGCGACTTGACGGTGCGGGTGCTCGTCATGATTCATTGCGCAAAGTGAGATGCTGAAATGGTAAGACTCGTGGTATGCGATAGATGGAGTGAATTACCGATAGCGGGGGCCGAGTTGGCGCCGATATCCGGGCACGTGATTGGAAGGCCGGCAGTTAGTGTCGGGGGACATGATGTCTGTCATTGAACACAAAATGTCGCATTTGTACGACATGAATATCAATCTAGGTGGTCATAAAACGGATTATGGAGTCATATTATTGATATAAGTTCTGTATTTTGATACAGCCACAGGGTTTCCTCGAGGAGGGGCGGCTGCCTTGATCTGTATTGCTGAGATTCAACAACCTTATCATGGAGCCAATCATGATATCAGTGAGTGCCAGATCCCTAGTCAATATCTATTATTCCTTCCTCCTACAGTTAATATATCTGGCCATTGTCTAATTGATTCATTCCTAAAAAGGAAAAAAAAGAATCACGTCTCGCTCTCATTACCGTCTCAACATTCGTATCATGACTTGTTCTTCAGTTCAATCAAGCACTATTTACTATTTCACTACATAATACAGAGGCTGAATTATCAAACCAAGTAACCAAGTCACTCGTTCCTCTTCGCACGAAGCTTATCATATCGCAAGACGGCTCCCAGCAAGACACTCGCGCCAAGTGCACTGCATCATGTTAGCGTCTCCAATCCTCCACAACACGAAGAAAACTTACCAATCTTCAGGCGAGCAATACTCGGTCGGGTTGTGGCTAATCCCCGATCTCGTCGGCGTAAAGATCATACTCGTAGGACAAACCCGATTCGTGTAGCAGCTATCATGCCCCGCACCACTAATCATCGGTCTCCAAAGCTTGCCCTCCGCATTCTGTGGTAACGTCGAGCAAACATCCGCAGCGCTCTGCTCCACGACCGAAATACACTCTTGATTAAACTTGACAGCTGGACTGTCAACAAGGAGCTCCCAGTCGACTTCACAGCCCTTCTCACTATCGTCATGAGAAATGCGCTGGAACTCGGCTTCGCACTCATTTACCATCTCGGCGAGTACTTCATCCTTGACATGGCGGAGATCGAGTGTGAATTTTACGGTGTGAGCCATTGTGTTGACGGTGCCGGGGTCAGTGGTAAAGATGCCGGTTGTTGCGAGGCCGTCGTGCTTTTTGGCGATGGTGTTGGCGGCAACGAGCATTTTACTGGCGGACAAGACGGGATCTTTGCGGGCGTATAGTGGTGTTGTGCCTGCGTGGCTGTCTCGGCCTTTAACGGTGATATTAAACCACTTGAATGCCTGGACGCCTATTTTCACTGTTAATCACCGTGCAATGTCCGTAAAGGGCTTTTTCTTACCGTGCACTACGCCAATTTTGAGACCCTCGTCTTCTAGGATAGGTCCCTGCTCGATGTGGAGCTCGAAATGCGCGGCGAATGGGTTTGATCGATATGAAGCAGGCTGTTCGCCACAGTAGCCTATCCTATCAAGCTCTTCCTTCATCGACTTCGGGTTGGCAGCGAGTACTTCTCGAAGATCCCATGCGGTTTCGAGAGGGATTACATCCGCCCACACGCCTGAAGACACAGCCATCTTGGGAAAGCGAGCGCCCTCCTCACTACGAAAGTTAGCCAATTTC